AGGGTCGCTGTGAGTCGCAAACGACTCGATGGCACATAACACCAACAGACCCTGGATAAGATGGATTGACTAGGTGACTGGGGTCATGAGGGTCAGAGACCATGAGGTTGGCTCAGGATAGTGTAGGCTTCACAGCTGTTCTGCATGGCGTCACTATGAGTTTCAATAACAACCACCTCATGCCTTTAAGAGTATCTTCTGGTCCAGACTGTTGTCTATTGAACCCTTGCAGTACTTGAATTTTGAAAAACAAACAAACAACTTTTTAGTTTATTAATAAACTGAAATTAAGTGGGTGTTTTGTTTTTAATGTGGACGGCTGAATGGGAAGGCATCGCACTGCTAGCCCAACTGGCAATTTCTATTCCCTTGCCATTTCCTGCCTCTGTAAATCCTCTGTGGACGGGTCTGCGTTCTCAGCACTAACAAGGACTTTAAGAGGGCATGAAAGCCTTGATGTTGGTCTTTCTGTGAAATTTTTATCTTGAGGGAATTTTCTCACCACCAAGGGAAGAGGAGGAGAACTGGACTGAGGGAGGAGATGATGGAGGAAGGAGAGAATATGAGAGTGATGAGGACATGTATGTAATTAGAGATTATATATTAGGATGTGGCTATGTATAATGTCAGCATCTCAATTTGAGATTTGTATCAAGTTGTTGTCAAGAGGGACCCGTTCTTGGGACAAGATATGTTGGGAAGTATGAGTCAAAGAGGAAGCCCATCAATGAGAGGTATTCATACACTCACACAAACGGTTTGACTGAGTGCCAGTAAACTTCAATCAGCCTGTCAGCGAATGGGAAAATGTTGCTTATTAGGGCAGTAAATGTCATCAGAGAATGCCTTTCTTTCCCTCTTGGGCATCACAACACCCTATAATAAATACAAGGTACTAATCTGTGGCCCTCAGGTCTGTTTTTAACTGTGTTTGCTCAAACCTTCTAAGTGGTATAGCCCTGGTGTGTCTACTGCCATGCAGGCCACTTGTGGTTGCTGTGAAGCTGAACACGGTGACATTGACGTGTCCACTGCGAAAATGGTTACCCACGGTGGACAGTGTCTGGTGGAGCTTCTCGATTAAAAACAAGCTTTGAAGCAAGAGTGGAATCCACCTCCTTAATAGCTTGTCTCCAGAAACCCTATGAACCTGGAGAAAGGATGAAAGTCACACAAGTGTTGAGGACTTTCATTCATAGGGTCGTTATGAGTCACCTACAACTTTTTTTTTTAATTTTTTTTATTTTATTATTTTTGTGTGCATGTACCGTCAAATCAGATCTGACTGGTACAGGAGGAGATTGTCCCTCCTTCCCCGGCAGAGCATCTGGTGGATTCGAACTATGCGCCTCTGGGATTGTAGTTGCAGCTCCTTACCACTAGGCCACCAGAGCTCCCCGAGTCACCTACAACTTGATGGCACTTAGCAGAAAGACCAGTTGGCCTAGTGGACAGAAAGTGATGCCACCAAGCCAAAGGTGGGTGGCTAATCTGTGGCCCTCAGGCCTGTTTTTGGTTTTGGTCTAAGATTCTTCTAGGTCATACAGCCCTGGTCTACCCGGTCGCTGTGAAGCTGAACACTGACACTGATGTGTCAAATGCGATCATGGTTACCCAGGGTGGGCAGTGCTTGGTGGAGCCCCCCGATTCAAATAAACTTGGAAGCAAGGGTGGCATCCACTTCCGTAAATAGCTTGCCTCTGGAAACCCTATGGACCTGGAGAAAGGATGAAAGTCACACAATTCAGCGGTCAGATTAGAAATTAATAAAGCCGTGTTTGACAGACTTGAACTGCACGACAGTGTGTTCCAAATTGTCCACTTGGGTGGATTCAAGTGACCCATCTTTCAACATTGGTCATCACCCAATTCTTTGTATAAAAGAGATGCTAGACCTAATAGCAAGCCTTTAAAAGGACCAAAGCTTGTTGGCCATCTGAATGTCTTCCTTGGTGAAGTGTCTGTTCATATCCTGTGCCCATTTTTCAATTGGATTATTCTCCTTTATCTTGTTGTGGTGCTCGAGTATTTTA